CTTGTCATCGCTAAAGTCAACATTTTCTCTTTATTTCAAATATATACCCAGCCCAAACAAATACAAACACACGTAACTTAGCCTGTACTGTGCCACTGACACACTGATTTAATAACTGTGACAAAGTGAAAATATAACGTTAGGCTAGTGTCATTTCGAAATGAAAGAAAAACACAAACCGTGGTAAAAACGACACGCGAAATAAAACACAAACGGCTCACGATTAGAATGAACAGCAAATCATCCAGCAGAGGATCAGTAACAGACTTTTTTTGGTCATTTTTGTAAATTGCACGACTTTCATACCTGTTAAGTTTCATGCCAGTACTGGTTTGCGCTCTCTCTCTCTCTCTCTCTCTCTGTGTGTGTGCGTGTGTGTCTTAAAGAGCCGCTGAGCTAACAGCTGACAGGCCGGGAACGCGCACACACACACACACTGTTATTTCTGACGGCAGACACGTGAACTAGAAGAACGTTTTTCTCGTATTTCTGACGTGCTTGAACCACATGTGACAGATTATAACAGCTTTAACAGACACATTTCTAAGTTTTGTGTCACAAAAACACTCTGTTATCCAATAAAAACATTATTGAAACCCATTTTTGGAGCGCAAATTACCAGTTGTACACGCTGTAAACGGAAGTTTTTAGCATTCTACCGGAAGACGCTTGTCGCTATGGCGCCCGCCATGCAGCAGCCATGAAAAAGGTCTATAGTGTTACTATTTATCATTTTGGTTGTGTATTGTGTGTCACACGAAAATATGAAGGAAGAGGTTTTGTCGTTGAATTTTACAGTCCAGTTCTGCAATGAAATAATCCTAACTTTGATTGTTTGTCTCCTTGCATGACAGAGGATTCATGAAACTCTATTAGCGCCAACTACACAACAATATAGCCCCCAAAAAAAATTACACAAGTGTACTCTTCTGACAAACTAAGAGCAGTGAAACACATAGTTTCATCAATACCAATAGCTAAAAATCCCCAAGAAGTATCCAAGTGGCTCCATTACTGAGTTAAAAGGATAGTTAAATTAACAATAGCCCCTTTCACACATACAGACCTCTCCAGAAAATTACCATCAGTTTTCTGGAAAGGTCTGTATGTGTGAACAGGCCCTTTTTGAAAATACCGGTAAATTCGTTTCGGCTATTTTCCGGAAAGAGAAGTTGTAACATTACCGGTAATTTGCTGGAATGCTGCTCTGTGTGAACGCAGAAGGAAGATTGCTGGAAAGCGCGCGTTCACGACTAGAACTTGCTGACATAAGACGTCTACTTTAGCCAATTAAAACAGTCAGACGCATTCAAGTCCATGCGGTTTATGAAAATAAAAGCCTTTAAATATTCTTCCAGACACATTTAGCAGCTAGATGTTAGTCAGATAACACTTCTATGTTCCTTCTTAATGCCAACTGTGTAAATAATTATCGATAAGTTGCTTATGACAAACCACTCCTTGTTTACTTTCAAGCTCTGCTTCCTTCAGTTGACACGTCACGTGTGCCCGTGAAGGAGCCGGTGAGCGCCAGCACACACACATATCATGTACATCTCCACATGTGAAAGTTTTTCTCTATATGTTTTCATCAAGTTGTTCACAATACTGATCCATCCACAGAGTTTGTAATGTAGTCAAATGTTTACAAACGCAAGCGCAGCCGTTTAGAGCTCATTTCTGGTTAAATTTCGCTATCTTAGAATGGATGTGTGAACGGTCTTTTCCAGAAATATTCCGTAACGTCCTCGCCTGTATGAACATCGCTTTTTTGAATTTACTTTTCAGATATTGACCCGTATCACTGTGTGAAAGGGGCGATTCTCTCATCATTTATCAGCCTTCACATGTTCCAAATCTGTTTGACTTTGTTCCGTTGAACACAAAAGCAGGTAATTTGAAAAAAGCTGAAACCTGTAACCATTGTCTTCCATAGAATTTGTTTTTTTTTTCTACTTTGGAAGTCAGTGATTAGGGTTTTCAGCTTTCATCAAAACATCTTCTTTTGGGTTGAGCAGAAGAAAGATACTTATAACAGTTTGGAACCACTTGAGGGTGAGTAAATAAAGTCTTGGGTGAACTATCCTTTTAAATCAGGGGTAACTGCCAGCTCGCTGGCCATTTACAGCCCCCAATCCTCTTTCCGTCCGGCTGCAACTGACATCAAAAATAGAATGAGATTTGGCCCCTTAAAATATACATTTTTGAATCACTATCATTGCTATGCAGTCACATAAAGGCGGTTTTGACGGTTTTGTATTTAAGGTACAGCACTATTCAATTCAATTCAATTCAGCTTTATTTGTATAGCGCTTTTACAATGTAGATTGTGTCAAAGCAGCTTCACATAAATGGTCATAGTAACTGGAATAGTGTGGTTCAGGTTTTAGTGTTTAAGTTCAGTTCAGTTCAGTTTAGCTCAGTTCAGTGTGATTATGTCACTATGTATTTGGTTAGTTTTACTGATGGTTTTGGTTACTTTCGGTGTGCGGTCGAGAGTAACGCACATGCAGATTGTTTCTGTGGCTGATTTAAACGTTGAAATAGATGTCTGTAAGTGCTCTGTTTTTACTAAAGCTCTGTTTTTGTAAATATGCAAGTGTCATTTGATTATAATCTGCTTTATATCACCTGTATTTTGTTGTACAGACACTGCTTTATGGCTTACACGTTATGCTGGTGGAGTAAATAAGATTATTTAGCTACACTGAAAAAAATGTTAAGTTATTTATTTAACCCAATGGTTGAGTTAAAAATGTTAGGTGCATTGTTGGATTATTTTTAACCTCTATTGGCCTATTTATTAATACTCAACCAGTTGGAATAAATATTTGGTGCTTTGTTGGGTTATTTTGAACTATTATTAGATTATTTATTTAATAACTCAACCAGTTGGGTTAAAAAAAATAGAATTTTAACAGTCAATTTAACCGACACAGAACAGCTGTATTCCCAGAGATGGGTTGCGGCTGGAAGGGCATCCGCTGTGCAAAAACTTGCTGGAAAGGTTGGCGGTTCATTCCGCTGTGGCGACCCCGGATTAATAAAGGGACTAAGCCTTCAAGAAAATGAATGAAGAAATGAGAACAGCTGTATTAATATGCGTGCCTAATGTTATTTTTGTATTGTAAAATTTGTTTAAGCTTAAACACAATAATTTTGTTATTTTTTTTATCAAATTACCTCTCCATGTCGTGTTTTTTACATCGGTTTGATCAGCACTCTTAATTATTGATGATCCAATGCTTTTCATAGCCGATCTATATTAAACAGATAAAAGTGTCTGGAGCTTAAAATGTAATTGAAATAAAGCATTTCAATATATTTTTTAAAACTGCATGTTTTTATTTACACAGCCATAATATAAAATTATAGTAGTAAAAGTAGCACTAGTGATACTAGAATGGAAAAAAAATATACATTTAATCAAAATAACCCAGTGCATTGGGTTAAATAATAAAACCTATATTAAAATGACCCATAGTTGGGAAGGTGCTATAATAACCTATAGTTGGGTTATATGTTGGGGTATTTGTAACCCAACTATTTTAACAGGGCAATATTCGATCTCATTTAATAGATTTTCCTCGTATGCATATTAAGATACTGATAAAAAAATGTGCAAAAAAAAATTGCTGCTTGAATTGAATTTGTTAAAGTAAATGTCAATACATTTATATGTTCCCATTCTTTGTTGTAGTTTTACAAAAAAGTTAGAAGAGCAATTACAAGTGAAGTCACTAAAGTTACCCAAACTGCTTACTGCTGTTCATATGCTATCTGTTAAACTTTTGGTTATGCAACAATTAGTTGGGACAGAAAAATAATAATTATAATGCCAATTATTTGTAGTATTTTCATAGCAATTTAAACTACCCCTTCAATATGTACAACAAGAAACCAAAAGCTCAAGTTTTGACTGTGTAGGAATGACAGAGACATAGTTCAGCAGCTGTGTGACACAAAAAAAAAAAATGTGCCAACTTGCATTAGCACAAGTGACAGGTAATGGCTGAAATATAAACATCATGTCTGTGATCCTAAGATGCATCAATTATGTCAGGTTTCCACTTTTTATTGTGTTTGAATGTTAAAACGGCCATCCGATGAATTGCAAGTCACTGAAATAACCCCCCACCAATTTGAGTGTGAGACTTCTGCTTAAAATACATATCTCTACACAAATAGGAGATCAATGTGATAACTTAATGTTGTGGTAAACACAACAGGTATATTTACCCCAAAGAATAAAGTTCATGGATTGACTGGAATTACATAGAATAAAAAGAGAATTAAATCAACATCAAGAGTATATAATGACTCGGTTATCAATATTGAGTTAATGTTTTAAGATGTTATTTAGCCCTGGGAATAATTTTCTGTACATTTTAAGAAGTGAAACTTACATTTTGATCAGTTATTGGTGCAAATTTCATCCCAAAAAAGAAGAGAGCGGTGATAGCAATGGGTTCAACTCCCAGGAAATGTATGAACTGTTGAAAAACGTGCGTATCCTCCAGCATACAGTAAGTCACTTTGGATTAAAGTGCCTGTCAAATAAATAATGTATAGCTTCAGGATAGCTGCATCCTATGGACCACTTTTATGGAGATGTTTGTTGTTTTCTTGTCCCTTTTTTTAGAGTCTGACAGCTGTGGTCACTGTAAACTGTCACTGTATGGAAAAACCTTGAAGAACAAAACAGCAGCTACCAAGTTTTAGGAGGATAGAAGAAACTCAAACGCTGACAGAATATTAATTTTGCGTCAGAATTATTCACTGGAGTTGCTTTCACACCTACCTTCATAATCTCTTTCACCTGCTATCTCGGTCTACGTTTTTTTTTTTTTTTCCGTTCTATTCATCGGCGTTTCATTGTTTACATTTCCTCTTTTATCTCCAACTCTCTGTCACAGTCATTGTTTGGCTGGTTAATTTATTCATCTACTCACTCATTCATTAATTCAACAAGCTGTCCCTCCCATTGCTGTTGTACTCACTCTCTCTCCTCTTTCTCCTGGTTCATCCGCTGTCTGAGCTCCTCCAGTCTGCTCTCCATCTCCTTGGCATGTTGATCCAGCTGCACTGTTTCCATACGCAACTCTCGGAGATTCCTGGGAGAAAAAATACTTATATGTTATGCCTTAACTAATGTACATACACTGTACAGTTGAAGTCAAAATGATTAGCACTAGTGTGGTTTTTCTTATATATTTCCCAAATGATGTTTAACCGAGCAAGGAATTTTTCACAGTGTTTTATATATATATATATATATATATATATATATATATATATATATATATATATATATATATATATATATATATATATATATATATGTGTGTGTGTGTGTGTGTGTGTGTGTGTATATATTTATATATATATATATATATATATATATATATATATATATATATATATATATATTTATTTATTTTTTTTTTTTTTTTTTTTTTTTTTAAAGATCTCTTGATTTGATTTTTAAAGATCTCTTGACGTCTGTATGATGTCAGTTTTACACACATTCTGAATCGCAAACATCTTAAAGATGTTTAATAGAAGTCTATTTCACATCTGATAGGAAACGTCTTGTAGATGTCTTGCAGATGTGAATGCAGACGTCAAATAGACATCTCCGAGATGTACGTGTGCTAATCAAAATCGGCCATTAAGAATCATGATCGGCGCATAACTAAAAAGAAAATGGGTGCTCCTAAATTTTTTGGGATGCTCCTAACTTTTTGAAGTTGGGAGCACCAGTGCTACCAAGTAAATAAGTTAATTTCGAGCCCTGTAATGTATGTATGCTAATGTTAAATCTTTAGCTTAGTTTGTCAACCAGGCTGCTTGTTGCTGTAAGTAAATTATGGGCCAGGCCAGCTAACGTCAGGTTGCCAACATTAACCAGTTTCAGAAACAACCAGTGGTTCCGACACACCAGCAGAAGCAGCACTCAATGGTGGTGAATGAAAGAACCAGTCATTATTATAATCTGATTTGATTATAGATTAAAACACTATTTGTGCATGTTTATATTCAAATAATTTTAAAAAAAATGTGTAGGGGGCCCACTGACATTGAGAGGGTACAGGGCCCAGAATTTGGTGCTACGCCCCTGACTGTTATACATTGATTTGCCTGATACCCTAACTTGGCTAATTAACCTAGTTAAGCCTTTAAATGTCACTTTAAGCTTAATACTACTATCTTGAAACATATCTAGTAAATTATTATTTACTGTCATCATATAAAAGATAAAAGATATCAGCTATTAGAAATTTGTTATTAAAAGTAATATGTTTAGAAATGTGGTAATAAAAAATAAACTAATAATTCAGGAGAGCTAATAATTCTGACTTTAACTGAATATATTCCACCTCAAAAGCACCAGAAGTGTTCATCAGCACATTATGAACATGGTGAGTACATTGTATTTATATTTTGATGCAAGTACACAGTAGTTAAGGCCATCGAATATAAAGTTATCACCAAATATATTTTATCACAGTATAATCACTATGGTTTAGAAAATGGCAATAAAATATGACAAAAACTCTGCGTTTGTGCTAGTACAAATTCATATTGATGAGATGAATTTTGATACATAACTTTTTTTTAAACTGGTATTTAACGAATCCATCCATAGTAGTATATAATACAGAATAAGAAAAAATACAGTGTCTAAGTTTTCCTATTTTACCACGATCCACTCAAAATAAAATAAAATTAAATAAAATGTATGAATTAAAATCAAACATATCCTCTGAGTAAAAAAAAAAAAAAAATCGCAAATAGAAAAGAGTAAATAAGATTTAAAAATTGAAATTATGAAAAGATAGCTTTTTTCGAAAAGGTACAGTATGTAATAAATTACCATCAACAAAAAATAACTCTGAGAACTGTTAGAATGATAATAATAATAATAATAATAATAATAATAATAATAATAATAATAATAATTCCTCACATTTATATAACGCCTTTCAGGGCACTCAAATCGCTTTACACGATGGGGGGAATCTCCTCATCCACCACCAGTGTGCAGCATCTACCTGGATGACGCGACGGCGGCAGCCATTTTATATTATATCTGAACATTTTTTGCTTTAAATGTACAGACTTTCAGAAACCAATGTGACTTTTTCATATTATACGTCAATATGCTTAAGACAATCATTCAGCTGAATACACAAAATCATGCTATTCTGCTAAAACGAACTACTCTAAACACTTGGACTGCTTCCATTTGCAAACACGACGTGTAACATGCTAATAATGTGAAAAATCTAAAGCATGAAAAGAAACTCATGGGAACCAACTGTTCAAACCTGACATTTAACTTCATTGACTTGGGCTTGCTGGGAAGTACCACAAAGTTGTTTAAATTCATGCTGCTCTCTGATCAGACTGTAAGCTTCACAGGCTGTAATTTCCACTGAAGTGTCCTGAGAAAATAGAGTTCTGAGTGAGAAATGCACAGCGCATAACAGGACACATTTCACTGAATTACCCTTTACAATAAAAGCACTGTAATGGTGTCATAGTTTAATGGTAAAATAGATCATAATTTCGTAGTTACAGCAAGGTAACTAAAATACATTTGACATAAAAGACCAGCCATTGAATAGTACAGAAAAAATAAGTCTATTTTATTACCAAAGTTCAAGCATAAGTACAGTTTAAGTCAAAATTATTAGCCCCCTTTTGAATTTTTTTTTTATATATATATTTCCTAAATGCTATTTAACAGAACAAGGAAAATTTCACTGTATGTCTGATAATATTCTTTCTTGTGGAGAAAGTTTTATTTGTTTTATTTCGGCAACAAAAGCAGTTATTAATTTTTTAAACAACATTTTAGAACAAAATTATTATCCCCGTTAAGCTATTTTTTTCCGATAGTCTTTAAATGTCACTTTAAGCTGTATAGAAGTGTCTTGAAAATTATCTAATAAATTATTATTTACTGTCATCATGGTAAATATAAAAGAAATTAGTTATTAGAAATGAGTTTTAAAACTATTATGTTTAGAAATGTGTTTCTCTCCATTAAACAGAAATTGAGGTAAAAATAAATAAGCGGTCTAATAATTCAGGGGGGCTAATAATTCTGACTTCAACTGTACGTTACCTAGCGCAAAAAAAATAAAAAAAAAATAAAATATATATATATATATATATATATATATATATATATATATATATATATATATATATATATATATTTGTGTGTGTGTGTGTGTGTGTGTGTGTGTGTGTGTGTGTGTGTGTGTGTGTGTGTGTGTGTTATTAATTTAATGCCACAAGAACAAGATGCATTACATTTCACATAGTTTTCTGAAAGAGAAATATATTGTAAAAATAAAACTAAATAAAAAAAATACATTAACATGAAATTAAATGTTTCAGAGCATTACATGTTTTCAGTGCTTATTTGTTTTGTGATTGTTCTAAAAGATTTACACATAATTTGAAGTCATTCACAAAATTGGAAAAGTTTGGTTTACATTGAGCTTACGTTTTTCTTATGTAAGTTATATGGTATTTTCCTAATAGCAAACAAATGAAAAATATGTTGTCATTTACAGTTCAAGTTTTCATTATCAGAATAAAACAGTAAATCAAACAACAAATCTTATTATACATTTTTTGTTAATAAACAATTATAAATCTTTCCATAATATTCTTGTGTAAATACAATAAAAAAGATGCAAATTGTTTCTTTTTCTTGACCACAAAAATCGCACATACATGAAATATTAAGTTTGAATCTTTCCAAAACATGTTTAGTATGGTAAATTCTATGAAGTTATAGATGTAAAACTTGTTTGTCAACTTCCAAGCTTTAACCCAAGAAACATTATTAAATAATGAAAGCCGAAAATATTTTGCTGTAGGTGGAGACAACGAGCAGAGAGCATTCCTTATAACCTTATAGACTATCTGAATATTTATAGGTTTATTAACATAACCTACGTCACATAAGCTGATAGAAACAATCAATGTGTTGAAATAGTACCTTTTGGTTTTTGTGGATTTCTGTTGTCAAACCTTTAAGGTTAAATAAATATCAGAGGTTATTATTCAAGGGTGTAAATAACATTGCCTCATTAACTTACATAGTCTTATTTCCTTCACATTTTGGCGCCAGAATGATTACAATATATTCCAAAATAAATATATATTCAAAGGATCTAATTGTTACTAACGTCCCGAGCAAAAACATAGGCTATTTTACCAACAATTTGATTGTTATCAAAATGTCACACCTACCTCGCGAATTAGCTTGTGAAAACTGTTGTGTGTACATCTGTCGTTATAGCAACACGTCTCATTCTCGCGACAGCGTGCGGGTTCCATGAGACGTGCACGCGTAGGTGCTCGTGCACAGAGAGGACGACAGAAAACGGTCATGGGAAAGTCAGCAGAGTGAGTTCAACTTGAGCAGCAGATACTCGCTTAAATTATTTATTTTAATTCAGTTTTTCTCAAAAAATGTAAGTGCTTTTTAACATGGTGTATGATATTAGTCCTGCTAACAAGTTTTAGGATTATTAACAATTTTAATAATTAAGGTGAAACGATCATGTTGAACTTTTTTTTTATAACAAATGAAACATTTCCATTACATTATATCACATTACAAACCAGGGAGCAAAACAAAAATGTATCTTTTAAACAGATTCACAGTTTGACAGCTTCCTTGTTAGTAGATTCAGAAATCAATGACATATAAAGGTTTAGATCTTCAAGAAAAACCTGAAAGGAAGAAAGGTTTACGCTTACAAAATTTACACTTGTGTATAAAGTGTTTGGCCAAAATATAATAAGATTAAATAATCATCTTAAACATCTGGATGTTCATTCTCATGGTTATATCCTAAAACAACATTTTCATACTTTAACATAACATCAGGAATTATACCACTAAATATACCTAAAACGTTTGTCCCAAAAAATTTTGGTATACTCACAATTCCAAAAGAGGTGAGACATCTTTGATTTGGTGATCACAGAAGGAGCAATATATACATCAAAATATTCAGAAACAGACCTTTTGTAAAAAAAAAAAAAAAAGCTTTTGTAGGATAGCACCTATGTATTGTTTTAGAAGATACTCCACAGATTTTATTGTACATTAGGAATTTCTGAGGTAAGGTCCATTTTCCACTTAATATTACCTATAAGTCTGATCCAATAATAGACAGCAGTAGGACAAGATTATCTCAAATTCTTTAGCTGTAATTGGATGTTTATAATGGGACAAAAATTCCTCATATTTAAAAGGAACTCCTCTGATATTAAATAATTGTTGAACATAAATTATATAATTTTTTGCCCAATTATCAAAGTAAATGGACTTATTTTTGTACAGTAGATCTTTGTTGTGCCAAATTATATAATATAATTATGTGGGGAAAAGTTGTGCTTGTAGATTAAAGACCATGATAACAGACATTGTTTATGAAACAAAAATAGTTTGGATGGAATTCTTTTAGGGTTATAATTACACAAGAGCAAACAAATTATATCCCCTAATTTAGAGAAAAAGAAACGGTATTAAATTCCACAAAAAGGCAGGATTTTAAAGATGCTAATTAATCCAATTAATTCTGAATGTATAATTAAGATTAGCAAAACTGATGAAATTAAGACAGCCATTTTCATAATTATTCAAAACTACATAGTTTCTATAGTGTTTATTTTTCCATAAAAAATTTAACTTTTTAGTTTTTTCCAAAATTGGCTAGAAGTTATCTGCACATCTGTTCTTCATATCTTTTGATACAACAATGTCTAGATAATTAAATTTGTCTTTCACTGGAATGCCATCTATACTTGCCAAAGAGCAAAGTTTTATTGACAATAATTCACATTTATTAATATTTAAATGCAAGCCTGAACTTGTTTTTGATGTATGTACTGTAATTAGTTTAATCTGTTTGAAGAAGTTTTTTTTTGTTTGTTTTAAAATGTATTAAAACATAGTTTTAAGGCTTTAAAGTAGTAAAATAGAAAGAACATTTAATGTAAATATTTTTATGTAATGTTTTTTCAATGAGTGACTGTTTCATAATCTATACAGTGTATTTTATTTTTAATAACATTTATTTTATATGGATGGATGAATGGATGGATGGATGGATGGATGGTTAGATAGATAGATAGACAGACAGACCAACAGATGGATGAATAGATGCTAGATGGATAGAGATGAATAGATGGATGGATGGATGGATGGATGGATGGATGGATGGATGGATGGATGGATGGATGGATGGATGGATGGATGGTTAGATGGATAGACAGACAGACGGACGTATGGACGGGTGGACGGTTGGATGGATGGATGAATAGATGGTTAGATGGAAAGAGATGAATAGATGGATGGATGGATGAATGGATGGATGATGGATGGTTATACAGACAGACAGGCAGACGGACGGTTGGATGGATGAATGGATGGATGAATAGATGGATAGAGATGAATAGATGGATGGATGGATGGTTATATGAACAGACAGACGGACAGACAGACAGACAGACAGACAGACAGACAGACAGACAGACAGACAGACAGACAGACAGACAGACAGATAGATAGATAGATAGATAGATAGATAGATAGATAGATAGATAGATAGATAGATAGATAGATAGATAGATAGATGGGAATTATTATTATTACTTAAACTCATGAATTACATTTGATGGTATGTAACCAGTAACAATGTATGCAAATCATAAACAATGCATGATCAATTATTGTTGATATTATTAATATGCAAATACACAAATAAGAAACAAACACCAAAAAGAACAGTGTTACAACAGTGAAACCACAGTCTGGAGCTCTGTTCAGTTGTTTTCACTTGAACCCTGAGCTTGCATTGTGTGAGCAGTTATTAAAAGTTTCTCGAGCGAAAATAAAAGCAGAGTTTTGCTGTTTTCTCTGTGTTTGGCAACTCTAATGTCGGTGCTAATGAAGTCCTGACGTACATCAAGCGTCCTGCGGCTTTTTCTGACACAGAGGAGAGAGACCTCTGTTGCTCCTGTAATTACGGACAGCTTGATTTCCCTAATTAAAATCATTTCAGCACTAAAATCAAATTTCATGTGGATGGTTTGATTGCAGTCATAAGAACCGTCATTAAAGCATCAGCACCGTATGTCTCAATTAGTCTACAAAAATTAGTCTACTGTTTTGTTTTCACCAGAGTTTCGTGTCAGCCATTTCACTCGTATACATTTATTTTCCTTCATCAAATTCAACGACAGGTTTAAATGTATTCATCTTTATGTAAAATTACTGGAATCTGCCTGGTTTGGTTGTGTTTTTTTTTTTTTTACAATAAGCAAAAAATGATGACTATAATGCATCTTCATCAGGATTTACAGAGCGCTAAAATGTCATTCAGGACAATTATGATTAATGTAGCAAAAATAATGTTATGCATATTTAGAACAGCATAACAAAAATCATTTAACTTTGCCACTATCAGTTTGTCACCAAGAATCTTTCTGTAATTTTGTATAACTTATTATTTTTAAGTAAAGATCAGAATAAGTCTTTTTATAACTTAAATACAACCACTAACTGGCCACTTTATTAGGTAGATTTTACTAGTACCGGGTTGGACCCCCTTTTGCCTTTAGAACTGTCTTAATCCTTCATGGCAAAGATTCAACAAGGTACTGGAAATATTCCTCAGAGATTTTGCTCCATATAGACATAATAGCATCATGCAGTTGCTGCAGATTTGTCCGCTGCACATTCATGATGCGAATCTCCCGTTCCACCACATCCCAAAGGTGCTCAATAGGATTGAGATCTGGTGACTGTCGAGGCCATTAGAGTACAGTGAACTCATTGTCATGTTCAAGAAACCATTACAGGGTTTAACGCTAAGGATTTTTTCTACTGGGCCGATCGGGCCAGTGGTTGAGATTTTTATTTGCCCTGCAAAACTTTTCACTGGCCCCAACAACAACAAAAAAAGTTAATATTTGGTATTTCTTAGCCACATATTTTAAATAATGTCTTTGAATATAGAATTTAAACAATTTAAAAATGTTAATAAGTGTATGATGAGCAAAATTCAAGATTTTATGCAAGCAAAAGAGCGGTATGGAAAATTTATTTTTCTTAATTTTGTAACCATGCAATTGTCTGCTTCCAAGACTTTAGAAACCCACTTTTTTTGTGTACTTTTTTTTTTGTAACTTTTTTTATATCTTTTTACTGTACTGGTTGCTACCAGGTTACGAAAAAATAACTTGCTCATCGTTACTGGCCGATAGGGGCCAGTAACAATCCTGTCTACTGTCCCGAGCTTCTTTCACGCTGGCCCCGGGCCACCGGGCAGTCCTTATTGTTGAGCCCTGCAGTCTGAGATGATTCACACTTTATGACATGGCGGATTATCCTGCTAGAAGTAGCCATCAGAAGATGTGTACACTGTGGTCATAAAGAGATGGACATGGTCAGCAACAATACTCAGCTGTGGCATTAAAACAATGTACAATTACTACTAATGGGGGAAATGGCTGTGTCATATGGAACTGAGGGTATTTATAGTGGCTTAGAAATTGTCTGATTGGTGAATCATAGATTGAATAATGCGGGGCCGGCTGCAAGCAATCATAAGCACTTGATCCTATTGAAATTAGTTTATAAATAAATTTTACTTTGTGAACAACAGAACAACAAAACTCAAATTGGTATGGATAAAATATAGGGTCAACTATCACTTTAAAATGATTCAGATGTACAGTGCTCAACATAATGACCGTACAACCCACATAAAACCCAATCCAGCACAACCTATTTTGAAAATTAATATTTGTATCCATGTCTTAGTGAATATGGGTCATGGTGCATTTGAACACAACATATTAAATAAACGGATATATATATTAAAATAATATTTTAGTCACCGAACATGTTTAGAAATAGAATTTACATTGATTCAGAAAAAAAAAATTACAAACTACAAATTTTTGTTAAAAAATGTAATTAAAAATATAATAATAATACTTAAAAAAAAATTGTCCCTCTTGAACTTTGCTCTTTTTACATTTTTAATTTAATATTTTTCCCTAACATAAATATGGGTGTACTCATTTTAGAAGTTATTTTGTTAGACAAGCTCCAGATTTAGCTTCAGTGCTGACTAATTTAATGTATATATGCACAAATACAATATTGTTAAGCTACCTCGAGAAAATTAGAAAATCTAAATGAGAGATTTATGAGGGGTGTACTTATACAGTAGAAGTCAGAATTATAAGCCATTTATTAGTCCACCTGT